GAACTGTATTCTTTTCCAAAATATCATGCTTCCTAAGATGTTGGAATCGCTCACAATAAAGAATTTAGCAACGGTGAATAAAAACCAACGAAATACTGTACTCTCTTATGGAGAACATTCGACGAATCTGTGGCCATGTGTAAAATACTTCGTACTGTTACAATTCAAGGGTCGACCTCGTGTTAAGGGAAGTGGAGTGAATGTATTCTCCATCGATGTTCACGAGGGGTGGGTAATCGTGAACGGTAATCCAATGGTAATCCTTGATATTAAGCTCTGTTGCCTCGCAGTATACTGAAGCACGCCTCACACGTTCGCTATGCATTTTAGGTGCCTCATTAAAAACACAGGCAATGTTGTCCCCAAGGGAATCCAACTCCCTCCAAGGAGAAAGACTTGCAGAAAAAGAGCCAATGGTTTCAGGTAGTTTCCCCGGGGCGTACGTTACAACTGCTAGTGGAAATGAGTCAGCACTGTAATTTCTTACGAAACCGTGAACTTGAAACCCTCTGGCATGCATCCACGTATCATTCACTGCTAAACCTATAACATTCTGAACTTTATTTATACTTATCACGTTCATCTTAAGTGATGTCATACGCAATGTCTAATTTTATTTCTGCTTATAATTTCAATCAGCATAAAAGGGGCACAGCTGTCATACGACTACTGAACTACACATATGAAATATTTAAAAAATAAAGAAAATACTTATATATGCATGTAATACACAAATGCATAAAATGGATAATAATAAGTTACTAGACGTGACAATAACATAGGGGGGGGGGGGGGGGGGGGTGCCTGTGTAGCAGGATGCAATACATGTTTTTACAGCTTTCCCATGTTAATATAGTGCTACATATCATTTAGTTTCAAAGATTCTAATAATTGTTGAAGTTGTGAAGTCAGATAATGTTCATGACAAGCTGTCAATGTCAAATAACCAAGAATATGGGAGGATAATATTAAATATTGCCGTGGAGCAGTGGTTTTTAACCTGTGGATTACAATCTAAAGTGAGGTTACAAAGGACATTCTGGTGGATCATGAACATTTTATCGAAAGTAGTAGTTTTAATTGATGAATTTGGACACACATAAAATAGTCTGCTTTGAAATTGCATTGGCATGTTGCTGTTGCCATGCATCTATCCCTATTTGTAACTTTTGTAAGCTGCGTGGCAAAATAGCAATTCTCTGTTTGTATCTATTAAAACAGCTGTTACATGGCCTTATTCTGTTCCTCAAGAATAATTTTTTAATTTCCAAATTTATTTTATTATGTCCAGTAATCACAATTTCACTCCACTTTGTGCACATTTGAACCATTCTGTACTCAGCCCATCTCTATCAGATATATTTTAGCTTAATTATAAGGCTTCTTTTGATTCTGTCATTTTGATACCAGTATTTTAATTTCTTCAGTTCTCCATTGTTTTCATATACTTGCATTGTAAGCCATCCAAATGCATAATCACTTTAGTTAAAAGATCTGAAAGTAAATATACATTTGGGTGATGGGCTTAGAAGGGAGGACATTACTAAAGTGGGATTTAATAAAACAGATTGTGAGGATGTGCAGTGGATTCAACTGGCTGTTCAGTGTCAGGCTCCTTTGAACATGGTAATGAGGCTTTGTGTTCTGTAAAAGGCAGGGAGTTTCTTCACTAGCTGAGTGACTAGTAGCTTTCCAAGAATGACAGATTCTAATAATCCATCCAAATCTCTTAATAACATTGACGGAATTATGCCAGAAGGGTGTATCAACAGAATGTCTGATTCACATGATTCCTGTGCTTATTGGTTGACAAATACACATTATTAGTGTTCACACTGCCCAAATGTAACTTCTTTATCTCTGTGTAGAGCAGCATCAGCATTATGCCCTTCTGGCACGACTGATATACATCCCAGTAGTTTATGTTATTAGACCAAATATCTTTAAACATACACCCTAAAAAAAGGCTGTTTGTCTTCATGAGTAACTCTAACAAAGCAGTGCCTCTAGTTTCTTTATTCAGACAGTTCGTACATTATGTTTAGTTGCTAGAATATATCAGCTTTCCTTATATGCATGCATTCATCACTTCCTATTTTGCTATCAGACATTTTCTCCAGGTTGCTTAATCAAACACCAGGACAAGTTTACTTTTGCTATTCAATTTGTATTAATTTTCTACTGGTTTGATTTGTACATGTAAAGTGTATGCGTTTTATATCATGTATCATGCCAGCTTTTTAGGCCTCTTTTACTCTTCCTTTTGTAATTTACTGCTTTTGGCAGTCCGTGTATATTTATATGTATTTTATAAATATAAGGTAAATACCTCTCTTTGCATAAGCTTAAGGCTTAAGTGGGTTGTGAGAGTAAAGCTTCTCACGCCTTAACATTGCCATCAGGAATAGTTACCATAATTCCGTGAATTTTATTTGCACACTGGCCTGTTATGGAAATATTTATGTGAAGCAGACCATAACAGTAGTTTGTTGCCAGTGATTTGACAGGAAATCAGTCTGAATTAACAGAGGCCAGTGTTTAAATAGGCGACTTGTTTTCATGCATTCTTATACCTTAGCGAATAATTTGTACTCACCTGGCATTGTTAATTGGTGATTAAATCCAGAACGATTTAATGAGTGAAGGTGCAGCACGCATTGTTGCAAACAAATTCACTTGGGTGAATAATAAGTACGTTGTGGTAACACGAAAGGGTAGTATTAAAGTAGGTGGAAGAGAAAGTTGTAAAGTGGATTGAATGAAGAATAAAGAAGTGAGTGGGGCAAAGAGCAGGCTTTGTAGAAAAACACAGCGTTTCTGTTGGAAGTCTGCTGGATGGCTTAAACAGCAGATGTGGGTGACGTAATATTATAATGGGAAATAGATTGTGAAATTGTAAATTAGATTGAACTTCTTGGAATTGGATGGTGGAGGGCTTTTATTTCGATCAATTTAAACATTTCTGTGTTCTGTGTGCGCCCAGTGATTATGGATATTGTTTACCGAACCGCTTGGAAGCAGTTTAACACGTGTTAACAAGATCAGAGAATGATCTCCAGAGCAAAGCCAGACCGCTTGGCATCCAGTAGAGCATTCCTCAAGCTGTTCATGGGTCGGTCAAGTGGAGAGAAAGTTGCGTAACCTGTTGTTTCGTGAGTCCTTTGTGCGAGGTCTGACACACAACGAAAGAAGCCTTCTTTGAAGTCTCTGGGGTACTGGAAGAATGCTGTGGCTAGTTGTCATGCTACTGCAGGCATTACATTGATTAGATACTTCGATGTTGCGTCAATTATTGGAAGGTGCTAGTAGCTACTGAAATAATTTCAGCCACTTGCAGATTTGTATCATTTTCGTAAATTTGGGAACTCTGGATGTGTCCAAGTATTCAGTATTCTACCTCATTCATGAGAATGTCTAACCGCGGAAGTTAATTTGGGCATCATTTTGAAACGATTGCCCTCGTAAGAAATGGGTTTCAGATTTTCGAGTTCAAAATACAGGTCTTCTAATTTGAGGGGTGGGGGTATTATCTAGGAATAGAACCCTAAAATCCAACTCCGCCAACTGCAGTGACCGTCATTGGTCATAATCTCGGGCCGTTTCAGTGATGGTTGCTTTCTTGTACCTGAAGGTCAATTTTAATTATATTCGCTTATCTCGGAAATCTTTGATATGTGGGATGTATTTGATATCGCCTTTTTTCCATCTCTCGCATCTTACTGTGATGCTTTAAATTTGACCACCTTTTCATTGAAACCAAAATGAATCTAACATCGAACATTGCAGCTTAGTAATTAACATTCCAGCTTCTAATTCGAAGGGTCCAGGCACAGGTATGGATAGTAAGTCTACTTTAGATTAGACCATGTTCGCTTCGTTCCACGTGTTTTCTAATTCATTCATGTGATCTAGTGCAGTGGTATTCAACCTTTTTAGTTCGCGTACCCCCAGGTACCGCCACGGTGGTCTAGCGGTTAGAACGCTGGCCTTGTAATCCTGGGGTCTCGGGTTCGATTCCCGGCGGTGCCCGAATTTATAACTTGTGTTAGGCAAGGCCGTGGTCTAGGCAACACGGAGTTTTCCTCCGGGGGCTTCTCCGTGGCATCCCAACAATTACTCCATTCACACACAGAAGAAGGCAATGGCAAACCACTTCGGGATCATCTGCCAAGAACGTATATGAACAAGTCCCAGTCCGGGAAAAGGATGGAAGGATCCTGTTCATATGGACCTGTCGTCAGACAGAACACTAAATAAATAATAAAATAATAAAACCCTCAGATATAATTTCTCTTCAACATTGTATCTCCAAAGTTGTTGGTGTATAATTCAAGTTATACACATAGTATGTAATCTAAATCTAAAATAAATTAAATAAATTACGTTACTGAGTATTCAGTGTTTATCATAAAATAATATTTATTTTTTTAAATTTCACGTACCCCCTAAGATGTCTTCACCTGCCCCCGGGGGTACGCGTACTACTCTAGTGCACTGACAACGAGTTCCTTGCTTTACAAAATAATTTCTCGACATAAAAATTTCATGTTGCCATTGAAAACTGGTTTTCGTTAAAACAGTGACTGAGGCCCGTTCTGCATTGAGCGATTAAATTGTGTACTCACTGATCCTGTTTGGATTTTTAAATTGAGTATCCGAACAGTCACCAGTTCGATTAAAACAACTCCATTAAAAGGCGGTCCTGCGGCTTTAAACTGCGTTTTTTTATGTGCACTTGGTTTTGAGACTTGTCAGCTGTTTCTATTGTAACAGCGGCTTTGAGTATTGGGAAGGTGCGCGTTATTGTCTTTGAGATGCTCTTAATAGCTTGCTCGTTCATTTTAACCAGAGTTCCTCGTCTCCCTCTCTCTAATAACGTAAAACCGCCGATGTACGGGAATAGCAGTGTAAGTAGTAACTGGTGCACTAACATAAATGCAATTTTGCCAGATCGTCCGTGAGAAGCTGACTTATTTAACGACGTTTCTCAGATGTGCGCGTATTGGTTATACAGCAAGACGATCACAAAGTCGTGGGTCTTTACTGCTCGAGCACTGGAATTGTGGGTTACAATTCCTTTCGAGGCACGGACGTTTGTCCACGTTTTCTGTATTGCGATGTCATTTGTAGATGAAGGCCTTGCGACTGGCCGATCTTCTGTCTAACGGGTCCGAATATCGAGAAAAGTTTCGAAACCTGTCAGAAAAGTTGTGCAGAAAGGCCAAGGCGGTAACGCCTATGTAGGAGTAATAGTAATAGGAGAAGTAGTATAGTAGTTATTTTTAGCTTAAACTGGTAAATGTGAAGGAACATGCAAAGAAGGACTGAGGAAAACTACGAATGTCCAAGGTAGCCGGTATTCGGGCCTAGAATCGAGCCAGAGATCTTCTGACTACGAAGAACCCGCCAGCTACTCATACTGCATCTCGATCTCCTGTAACAAAATCCTTCAGTCGTCTGCCACTTGAGCAGTTCGCCTTCCTCACTAAGCAAGGAATTATAAAGTTGTAAGTTTTAATAAAATCGATTATGTCGTTAATTCGTGTATGTTTGAAACTTGAATGCGATAATGGAACTTTGCGGTTACATTTTGCGACTTTCAGGTATTGGAAATTTATATAATATTAATAAGTTTTTACTAAAAAGAAAATTGCAGGAGTAATGTATAGAAGGACGCATTGAATTGGACATGTAAGTCTCGTATCTCTTTATAAGGTTTCACGACATCGTCTTTTGTTCTGTGGCGAATGTAATAATAAAACGATTATACCGGATCTGTGTAGCGTTTCGTTTGTTGATGAATATACGAACATGTTTCTGGGGTTTTCCCCTTCCAAGAGTATACAGCGTGGCGTAAAGGGACGGTCAGAATCTAGAATGATTAGTTGAAATGTGTTCTTACTATGTCATGTTAGCTGCATTATCAGGGGCGGAGAGTTCGTATTATGCCGCGAGCGTAAGCCCCACATAGCTGGCTAACAACGTCTGGCTAACATGAACGCCCCACACCTGAACATTATTCTGTTTGTTGCCGAGACATCGAATTTGAATGCGCTTATGATTGAAAGAACCAACACGTGGTGCATGAAAATCTCTGTCTAGAAAGAGTGGAAATTTGTTATGAATCCTTAATTGTTTTCCCAAACTAACCGCAATATACAGAGTGGCTGTCTTGTGGGTTGTTGCGCCGTGTAGTCTGTTAGAAGATTACCGACGTTTCAGAGGTGCATCGTCTTGCTGATGGAGGAAAGAACCACGGTGAACGTTTACCAGACAACATAGTGCAACAACCTAATGAATAGGACATTTGACGAAAAGTATTTTAAGCGACACTATACCATTGTTATTATTTATTTTGTAAATCAAGTTTGGGCCATTTAATTAAATGAATTGATTTCCCTTTTGCCACTGATGATGACCTCTTGAGGTTGAAACGCGTATGACACTAGTGTCTTTTTGTAGTGTTTATAGTTGTTTGTTTGCCTATTTATATTCTAATACACTACACGATGTGCAAAGTTTTAAGGTAACAGTGCGCTATTTCATTTATAAAGAAAACTGACATCTTCGCTTTATGTTGATTTTTGTCTCTGGCTTGGCATTTGGCTAGTCTGAAGAGAAATCCAAGTAATTTGTAGCAAATGTTGGAAACAGTGTGAAATGTTGAATCATACTCGCACATCTTTGTTCATATGCTTTCGTGTTTTATAAGGGAAGATGGGATTATGATAAAGTAAGATAATATTTGTGTGTGTCCCTCTTATGACTTTAAAACCAGTTTACAGATTTTCGTGAAAACTGGTCTGAACATCATGCCATCAGAATTTACACTACCTGTCCATCATTGTGGCCTTGTGAACTTTGGTGGGACTAGTCTGTATGTGGCCGAGATTTGAACCAACCTCCGCCTGTGTTGAAGTCACACATATTTCTGTTTTATTAACCCTGTCTTCTGTTGGATGGTAAACTTGTTGGCGTGTTACATGCCGTGTAGTGGGTATTTTATGTGGTAGTAGGAAAACAATGGCTGTGTTTTTTTTTCAGGTGCCGAAATGCACCCATGACAGAGAATCAGCCCTGATGAATAGTCCATTCAAATGTTGCTGCTGCTGCTGCCAGACATTACCCTGTAGCAGCCATTGCAGCACCAGGACTCGAACCCAGTGCAAAGTGTTGTTTACATCACGGTCACTGTGATCGAGAGCCCTTCCTAGACACCGTCACTATCGTTGGGAGGTGCTGAAACGGAAGTTTTTTATTTTTCTAAAAAATCGTTTTGCAGTATTAAACATGGACCCAGATGGTGGCGTTGGAGGAATATCCTCCATGAAACTTCCTCATTCGCATTCAACCCCTGCAGGGGTAGATGGGGGTACAAGAACTCCCCCAACCACACCCAAGAAGGGTGGAAAGATGCTTGCAGTACGCGTTCAGATGTTAGATGATTCTGTCACCATGTTCCAAGTACAGGTAAGTGAAGTCTGATTTAAACTTGTTTCAGTCCTTCGTATCCTATTCAGTCCTCATTTCCTTGTCAAGTCGGTGCTTATATATGTTTTAGCTCTGCTAATAACCGCCACAGTGGTGTAGCGGTTAGAACGCTGGGCCTGTGCTACTGGGCTCCCGGGTTCGATTCCCGACGGTGCTCAGATTTTCAACTTGTGTTGGGCAAGGCATCACGGAGTTTTCCTCCGGGGTTTCTCCGTGATATCCTAACAATTACTCCACTTCCATCATCATTTCGCAAAGGGGGTCACAGCAGGAGCGTTAAATATCGCGGTCCCGGTCGAACCCATGTACTGATGGGCCGTGAATCCTGCTAACCACCAATGCACACCATGCTGAATGGCGTGTACTGGACACAGAAAAGAATTGTTAATATTAAGAATATCTAATGGAGCGTGGATTTGTTGCCAGTCTGTCATTGTTAAGAATGTCAAAGTAGTACGTAAATACATATGAGATCTTTTTGCCTTCAGCTTTAATTTTGTGTATTTATAATTCATAAATAAGGAAATGACACAGCTGCTTGCTCACGTAGTTCAGTTTCCCTGTATCAGCAGCAGTGCAGCGACTGGCATAATTTAAAGGACACTATCTCCTCCTCCTCCTCTTCTTCGTCTTTTTCTTCGTCTTCTTCTTCCGTTTCTTGACCGTCTTCCGGTGCCTAATATTTTCTTCCATTCTTCTCTATTTTCCCATCCTTCCTGAGGTAGTTTCCACTCTATCATGATTCTTGTAATCCCGTCATTCCATCCTGGTCTCGGTCTCCCTCTCTTCCTTCTCTCTTTTGGTTGCCATTTTATAGTTTTCTTTGGTAACCTTTCCTCCTTCATCCTTTGCACGTGTCCGTACCAAGTCAGTTGTCTTTTCTCTATCTCCTCATGATTTCTCTAATCCTTTCGTTTCTCACTCCCTCTTAAACTTTTAATCTATAAATTCTGCTCGTGGTCACTGGTGCCACATTTCTTCCTTGTTTCCATTTCTCTAGACTGTACATCCAGGTGGCTATGCGAATTTTCCGTGTGCTGTCGGTGCTGGAACAAGTGGTTCGTAAATCTTAAAAAATGTAATCCAGTTTTTGTCAGAAATGGGAAACAGTTATCTCATAAATCTTTCTTCATGAGAAGCTAATAGTGTGTTTAGCTAATCAAGAAATTCCCATCTCTTATTCAGTTATTGTTGTGTTGAAATGAGCTTACCATTGTTCCCTGTCATGAGCCAGATGAATCCAATCATCAGTCTGCAATCCATTTCCCTAAGTTACATTTTAATATTATCCTTCCATTTATACATAGGTCTTACAAGTAGTCTCTTCCCTTCGGGTTGTCCAGCCAATTTTGTACGTTTTTCAAGTCCCTCGAGTCACCCCACATGGCCTCTATCTTATCCTCCTCGATTGATCGTCCAAAAAAGTACTTGCTGTACCTAGTGAAGATTACAAATTATGGAACACCTTTTTGTGCATTTTTTTTCAGTCTCCCGCCTTCTGTCGGAACGGTAACGATTTGTCGTTAGTTGCGAAACCTTACTTTTTGTTGATTAGAAACTCTGCTCAGGCGCAGGTAATTAATTACCTTAGTGTTTATGTCTTGATGTGTGAAGTTATTATATCGCCTTTCTATATAGCAAGTCTGTGGAAACGGTGATGTTCTTATGTGGTGACCTTGTTTGAAATATTACTTAACACGTAACCTGTCACGTTAACAGAGCATTTTAGTTCGTTAACGCACCTTTGGGTGTGGAGGCAAATTACGTCATGAAAGTTTCATAATCGGTACATTTCAGTTTTCAAGAAGCTCGAGGTTTTCGGACAGATTTAAAACATGGAATAAACAAGAATATAACATTTTTGTTGAACATGGGGGAAAATCATTTGGAAAGATCTAGATAGATTTAGACGAGAGGTTTTGATTATGTGAAATGGATTGAGTGGGATCAGAATGGGTCCAATTTCGGTATTTTGTGTCGTGTTTTGTAACGACGAACTTTTTGTACGACTAAATAACTATATAGTTATTATCCATTGTGGTATAATTTTGTTAAAACCGCCGCAACCAACCTATCAATGAATTGGTTTGGGTTTGTCAACCCCAGAGCATGGGCCCCACCCTCCTGTCGCTGGGGTCGGTGCAGACGTTTTGTATCGACCGACTGAAGGAAGTTTTGGGGGTTGAAGTGAGTGCGGGGGGTGGTGATGCTGGCGATGGAGGGGGTGGGTGGCGTTACTCTGGCTATGGCAGGTTGGGGTCATAGAGTTGGAGAGGTCAACCACCCATTCAGGTAGCCTGTATACACTACCTAGGCTTTGGTAAAGAACATGTGATGTGACGTTCTCACGGCAGTGAAGATGTCGATCTTCGGGGTGCGGACCCATACGTAGATACCAATTTTCGACAGGACGTACTGCCTCTGTCTTCAGCCCTGAACACGGAAGTAGTATTTTTCTCCGAAACGTTGGTGTCTACCTGTAAGTCCACATGGCGTCGCAACCCAAAACACCATCATCGACATGTGACATGTGTATTAGCTTGTTTATAGTAAAATTGATGCTCTGTCGATACTTTTATGGGCTTAGCGAACATACTGCCTCCATATTCAACCCTTCATGTCGTATGGGGGATGTGAGGTAAAATTTCTCGCATTCTTAACCTCTGCACCAGATGGAGCTAAGTGGTCACCTTTAACCCTGGTATCCATTGGATGTTTAGTCGCTAAAAGAAACGAGAAATAGAAGCAGTTGGTGGTTATTGGTCCGCCAACTACCGGTTGAGGAACACAGTAATGCAGGAGGAAGGCGAGGCTTACAGTGGATTTGTGTACGAATCGAACAGTTACTAGTCGGTGTCAGGCATTTTAAAATGTAGAGGATTTTTATTTGTTAAGTCATCGGAGCCAAGTTTTAATTTGTTCGAAGAGACAAGATCAGGTATTGCAAGCGCTTGGAAGCACTCGACCGGCAACTGATTTGAATTCGGATCCCATTTTGTGTTTTTATAATCAATCGACTGACGCACGTTCGTCCAATTTTACCATTAATATTCACAATGTCATGACCGCTATTATAGTGTGGAATTATGCCTTCACACTGAATATGATACTTAGGACAGTCTTTCAGCTGAAACCGTGACGTAAGATCTTTAGAACCTTTTCACACTGTACGTTAAAGTCTGTGCATAATTGGGACATATCCTTGTGTCCTTATATTTAATCTCTCAAGGCTCATGGATGTTCCTTTATGGGAACGTGTAGGGCGACTAACTTTGTATTAAATGAGGCTCAACTAGAGCTTCATCAGATTTTTAAAAAAAATGTATGTTCAAATGTAGCTTATCCGTAAACATAACTTCTGTTCTATTTAGCACGTGAAGGTTATATTTGAACCGCCTGCACCAGGGAATGTCTGGAACATTTCTCCAAAAATGTGCCTTCATTGTTTGAATTCGAAGTACTAGATTCCATGTGAACTAGTTTTAAAAGTAGAGTTGAATGATACGCAGCCTCTCAAACCATTTAATTTTTAAAGACCATCTCATAATCTTCCATTTCCTCCGAAGGCGAGATGGAATATTACGTCGGCGGATTTGGCAACTTACATCATATTGCTGTCTAAAATTGCCTTTTTCTGTAGTGACCACTCAATGAAAATAGGAACTTCTTAAAACATTGCGACAGTATACAAGGTTTGAAAACTGTGCTCCAGTTCGGAATACTTATATTGCTGTTTTGCTTATCTTAGGATTATTAGGCTTGGTGTTTGAAAATATCGACAATTTATTTTTGCTAAGCTAATGGCACTACAGAATAAGACAGTTTTCCCATGTATTTTGTTGAATATACACTGCATTGAAATTTTAAATGAAATGTGTAGACTTTGATTACGATATATTTCGTAGCGCATACCAATTTTTGTACAGCGAGTTGTTTTTTTAAAAACTTAAGTTTGATTTTACCTTTAAGCCCGACTCTTTTAATGTAGAACCCAATACATAAAGTATTAAAATCTGTCCAGAAGTTGTGGATGTGATAATACGTAGACACACACGAATTCCGTATTTTGCGTTATGTAACCAAACCAAACCAAAAAGAGATTGTATATACAAGGAATGTATCCTCATTCCTATACCTTCATAGCCCATTGCTTGAGATCTATTTTAATGGTATCCTTCCATCGTCGCGTCTTCCTCTCTGGTGGTTTCTTTCCTTCAGATTTTCCGGCGAAAATCGTGTTTGCATTTCTCATCTCCCATTCGCGTTACGTGCTCCGTTTAGGTCGCAATCAGGCTTGCATATTTGATGTTTATAGGGTACATTATGACCCTCCTCATTATGTTTTTGTATCCTGTTATTTCCTGTTTCTTATATCCTGATTCTTTCCTCAGGCCCGTGGTATCAATCAGAACAACGGGTAAAATAAATTGTAGTTAATGTATTTCATTGTTTGGGTTTTTGGACAGGATACGGGAAGATAGATTTTCGAGATTTTAATTTTCTCAAAACTTCTACGTGAATCTTCTTTTGATTTGTCCCTGTCGTTGCCAAGTGCTTTGCCACACACGCGGTTGACTAGGATGGGGCGGTATTTCATTTAAAGTGTCGTACCGCGGGTCTCGGGTCGGACACGACTCCCGAATTTACCGCTGAACGACATTAACATTGGTTCTTTCGTCATAGAGTCCTTTTCCTTTAACCCCAATTTTGTTGGAAATTTGTTTCCGAGTCATTTCGTGGTGAGGAGGTTTCGTATTTAACTCGCTTTTTCCTGCTGTTGACTTGGATCCGTACACCAAAGCATACTTATGCCACTGTTACGAGAAAGGAGCTGGCGGTTAACAATAGCTGTTATGAAGGCTGTTGGGCCTTGAGTGTTAATTGAAACCCATTATTCTATGCAGTTAACTTAGTAAGCTGGACACGCAGACCCAGTCAGTCTTCGGATTCTTCTCTTGCGTCATCGTATGAGTAGTGAT